GATTACTGAACATGGTTTTGAACATTAGCAATATTTTATAGTTGACTGAGGAGCATTCTACCGCACCAACCAGTTTAATTGTTTCATTTTCACTGCTTTTATGCAGTTTGAAAGGTTATGGTTAAGTTGAGAGTCTAGCCTAAATCCCCTTGAAGATCTACACAAAAGACTAGCCTACTGATGATGTTCAAAGCACAGATCAATCCCTGACCTTTAACCACTCAAATTATCTGTGGATCTGATTACATCAGATATTGGAAGATAAGCCTCTATAATCAAGTCTTCTGAGAGTGAAACATTTTAGCAATGGCATTTAAGTTCAGGTAAGTTTTCTGTTTTTATTGAAGTTTCAATATCATGTCCAGAAGTTTTAATGTGTACTTTGTAGTTGCTGAGTTGTTACTTACTCAAAAGAATCTCTATTTCCCTCCTTCAGTGTTTTCCTTGTCTTTTTTATTTTCTGTCAGGAGAAAAGCATACATTAAGTCAATGTAAGTTCTACAGTGTTTCCTCTAGGATTTTTTCCAGCTGTGGTGGGGAGATATATCCAGCTGCAGGCCCGCAGAACCACACACGTTTTAGGCACGCACAATCTGGCACACACAATCTATGCAAACCATATATGGTTACGACGGATGTTAATGTTATTAACGTCTTTTTAAACATCGTCATCGATATATTTTGATATATATATGGTTAATAAATATTGTACACAATAAACAATAGTGTTTACTTTATTTCACAAATATTGCGATCGAGACACGCGAATGGGGAGCATTGCTTCCGATCGCCATTCAATATAATAGACTGAACAGTTTTTATCAGTCATTATAGCTGATCAGTCATTATTATCTGACAATAAAATGGCAGATACGCGTTTGCTGGCCTTGCTGAACGATCTAATTTGGACAGGTTTAATTTATATAATGCATTAATTTATAATGAAGGAAATAATAGCAAGTTAATATAGGCAACAATACATTATATGTAATAAAAATATTTTTACATGTAACAAATGTATAACACTATATTAATATTTTACTCAAGCGATTTTCTAGTGTATATTTGTCACAACCAGCGATCGCTCCCCAGAGGATCGCTGGTTCTCACACGAACTCAGGACTTCATTTCCGCATTCCCCAGGACTACACATTCATACATGCACTGCTCCCAAACACGCACGTCTGCTCACTCATGTATCCTGATTGCAAGCACCAGCTGAGCCTTGTTCACAGACTGATTACATCCCATTTATAAGCCACCCTCTCACGCCACCAGGTTGCCGAGTCTTGTTCTCCTAGTAACATTACAACGCGTTTCCCTGTCTTGTTTCTCCGTGTTTCGATCTTAGCCTTGTATCCCAGTTATCTTGTTAAGCCGCCTGCCTTTTGACCTTCTGCCTGTTTATATCGACTACGATTCTGGACTGCCTGTATATACCTGTTTGCACCTGATGACCATTGCTTGCCTGACTATTGAATAAACTGCATAGTGGATCTTACCTCCTGTGGTCTCCTGTCACTCCACCCCAGTCGTGGTTACAATATTGTATAGTGTATATATATATATATATATATATATAGTTTAAATGATTAACTATAGTATGCTAATTTATTTTAATGTGACACATTATTGTTTGCTTTTTATATTTTACAACAAAGTGATTTTAACCAAGTATGATAAGATTAAGATCGTAGTTTATTACACTTAATCTTACAATTAGACAGTCTGTTATGTTTTCTATGTTTATGTGGACACATGAATAACTTCATAAGTGTCTTTAACCCATTATTTTTATTTACATAATTTGAGTTCAGAAACTGCAGAGATGTTAAAATTATCGTTACGATATAATAATAATAATAATGACTTAAACCATACTTGTGAAATTCAATAGGTGGTGATACTGCTAAAGAGTTAGTTAGTTACCACATATGGTTTGCCTAAATTGTGTGTCCTAGATTGTGTGTGCCTAAAACGTGTGTGGTTCTGCGGGCCTGCAGCTGGATATTATTGGTGGTGGGAGGTCTTTTGCATGACTCTACCAACTGCCTATGACGTTATTTCAATGACAAATGTCGTGAGCGCAGTATTACAAGTCGAGATCGCATTTATGTAATACGAGCATGCGAATCTCTGCTTGTGCACCGATTTCCTCTGTTCATGCATAAAACTTCCTCAAATAGCTACGCGCCTCAAGTGCAGATTTTCGTGCGCGCTCTCAAATAAACGCTGCGGAAGTGCGTTTATGTAAGAAGTATGTCTCTAACATTAATTAAATTTGCTGGGAATATTTATGAATGTCTAAAAATAGACCTACAGAGGGGTATTAATGCATCTTGAAGTAAAGTGAGACAGCTATAAACTCCAGCAAGATAAAGTCTTTGTATGCTGAACCATAGAGCTTTATCTATAAATAAAGTATAATTATGGAAACTGTTCATCCTAACTGAAAGCTACTTCATGTTTGCTAGCCTCACGCATCACGCACCTGTTAGTCAGTCAGCATTTCATCTTAAAGGGTTAAACAAATGACCCACAGCACTACTACGGTTACAGAAAAGTTTGCGCTGTTGTAATTCACTTACCTTTTAATATGTTTTGGTGAGACTATCCACTATTTTTTTTAAAAAGGACTGAATGTTTTGAGTAAGAATCTGTAATGTAGCTGTGGCGGGATGAATTTTGGTGTGGCACCCTGCCATGGAAGAATGAATGTAGCCAACCTTGTTCTATCATTTAAAATTTGGTAAAAAATATTATTTACACTTGAATATTTACATTAGATTGAGGAAATGATTATAACTTCCTTTTAAATATAAATTTCTTTAAAAATGTACTGTTTTTTGTGCTGGTAAAGCAGATATGATTCTTTTGAAAACATTCTAATGTAATTCAATCCAATGTAAATCATTCTACAGGTTTTTCTAAAAGGAATGTTCACCCAAAATGAAAATTGCCTCATCATTTACTCTGGTTTAACAAAAGGTATATTGTTTTGATGCTTGAAAACCCCCTTTTGTCATTGGCCCTTGCATTACTTTGTAGAATAACTTACTTTTATCAATCCTTAAGGTTAAAGGCTTGCTGTCATGAAATGTAGCCTTTTCTACATAAAGGTGAAGAAACCATGTTCACTGTTCAAGGGCAAATGGTGAGGTATGGATGAGCTCAGCTCAGCATGTAGGACAAGGTGTCCGATTTCTAACCACTGATCTCCGAATATCAGAGAAGCCTCAGTGAAAAAAAAAAAAAACACTGTGGTAGGTACATAGTGTTCCCAAAGCAAACTAATGTTCATTCAGATGCAATCCAACACAGAGTTTTTTAACTCTTTAATGATCTAACATGTCTTAGTTGTTATTAGCGCCAATTATACTTTAAAGGGACAATTCACCCATAAATGTAAATTTAATCACGCACAATTGGTTCCAAACCTTTATGAATTTCTTTCTTCTGTTGAACATAAAACAAGATGTTTTGAAGAAAGCTGAAAATGGGTAATCATTGATATCCATAGTAGGAAAAATAAATATGGAAGTCAACAGTTTTCCAGCTTTGTTCAAAATATTAGATTTATTTATCCTTTATTTTTCCAGAAACATCCTATTGAGATTAATAAAAATATCTTCTTCCAGGTAGTCCTGTCGAAGATGATCATAAAAAAAGATTCATAGCCTATAATTTTAAGATAATGTGACTTACAACTAGGCATGAGATGATAACTGGTTTCAAGGTTTAGAGTGGTTTGAAAAAGTCTTGGTTTTATAAAATGTTCTGTTTTACCGTTTTAAGGTATATGTAAGTTTTTTTTTTATGTTTTTTTTTTTTTTGCTGTCAAAGACTATTTAATTTGATTTATTTAGGACAACAGTATCTCCAGCAACAAAGGAGCATCCACATCAAGATTTACTGGTCAAACCACAATTCAGCAAACATCTGAAAAACAAAACACTTACAACATACTATAAAGCCAGCTTTCTGAAAATGCAGTCCTATATACATTACTGGAGAGCGCCAAATACGTAATAGTTTTTTTGTGAATCCACCAGAGGGCGCTGTGCATGCTTTTTGAGATCTTAAATTTCTCTCGCCATTCGTGCCTGCTTTTTACTTGTAAATCCACCAGAGGCCGCTTTCAACTTACTGACTGACTGACCGATTTCCCCCACCCATCCCCTTCCCAAAACCCAACCGCTAGTGTTTTAAAAAGCACCGATTGACCAGCGCCCACTCACTTCCCTAAACCCAACGTAGTGTTGATTTTAAAGACAAAATGCAGCCATGCGTACTTCTGGCTACTTAATTCGCGATCTCCAGAAATGTATATGAAGCTATGTTTTTGGAGTAAGCCATGTTGCAATGATCTGAACAGTGCAGTGGCTTATTTATATCCACAGAAAAGAAAAGCTATTCACAAATGCCTTTTTAAGTTGTAAATAAATCTGTTTCTGAAACTAATGAAGTCAGAAGAAGTCAATGATTTATGTGAATTATTTAGCCTGGCAAACTGTGATGTGTTCATAGTGTGTTATAATTTATTATAATGTGTTCAATGGGGGTTATACTACCCCATATTCAAATAAATCAAAAAAGGAATTGGAGTATTAATCATGTACGTATAATATATATCTTCCTTTATGGTCAACAGAAGAAACTCGAGTGAAGAGTGAATAATAATGGAAGGAATTTTATTGCCATTTAACTACTAAACAGATTTCTGTTTCCCCTCGATCTCAAAAAAGTCCAACCACACTCTGTTCAGGCTTCGTACGTCCAGACTTAAAACTAGACGTATCGTATTTCCTCTCAAAAAAGCAGTTATTGTCCTCGGCGAAGATATTCATCAGTTTGAAAAACAGTCCTGCCGTTGTGAAGGGCTCCAAGATTATCCAGCAGGAACAGGTGGGTTTTTATTAAAGCAAAGGAGGAGCCAGACGAAAACCAGAAGAGCTGAAAATCTCAGATGGACAGACAGACAAAATCAGACGAGAGGTAATATGGTGCTGTTCACCACCAAGTTTGTCCAGAGGGCTTCGCTCTTTGTGTCCTTCGGAGGTTTGGTCACAACGTTCGTCACAACCTTCTTGCCCCTATGGAAGACGATGAACTCCGATTTGAATGAAATGGAGAACTGGTACGAGGGTCTCTGGCACATGTGTATCTACACGGAGGAAGTTGGCATCCATTGCAAAGCCTTTGATTCTTTCTTAGCTCTTCCGCCGGACACTTTCGCTGGCCGGGTTCTCATGTGCATTTCCATCGCCACTGGAATTCTCGGTGTGGCGGCTGCTTTTTTCGGACTCCGCGGAGTTGAGATTGGCGCCAGTCGAGAGAGGATGAAGAGGAATCTGCTGATCCTCGGGGGAGTTTTTGTAGTTGTGTCTGGAGTCACGACTCTTGCGGCTGTTTCATTTATGGCGTATGTTATGGTTGTGAAATTCTGGGATGATGATCGTCCTGAAGTCATGCCCGGATGGGAGTATGGAGAAGCCATGTTTTCTGCCTGGTTTGCTGGACTTCTGTTAGTTGTCGGAGGGAGTTTTTTGTTTGTTGCAGTCTGCATGGGCGATCATGAAGTGAAGCTGCAAACTGAAATGATTGCACGCTGTCAAGAACAGCGGCCGAGATCTCTGCATTACCGAAAGACGGAAATCATATAGCTTTGATTTTTGACTGAAGATCGGAAAAAGTCTTAGCTTAACTAAACAAAGTTGCTGAACTTTTGAAATATTGAACTTATTGAACTATAATTTCTTGTCGTAATTTTGTTTTATAATCCGCTCTCAAGTAAATTGAAAGAAAGTTGAAGTCAACATGTAAATTTTTTTTCTCTTCTTTTTCAAATATTTTCCAAACGATGTTTAACAGAGCATGGAAATTTTCACAGTATGCCTGATAACCTTATTTCTTTAGGTAAAAGTCTTATTTGTTTTATTTTGGCTAAAATAAAAAGAAATAAATAAATGTTTTTTATTTTTTTAAAGAACATTTTAAGGTCAATAATATTAGTCTCCTTAAGCATTTAGGGAACAAGTTAAACATTGACTTGCCTAATTACCCTAGTTTCCCTAATTAACCTAGTTAAGCCTTTAAATCACACTGCTTGACCAAGAAAATGTTTTTGGATTGCATTTCTTAACTCCTAATGTCACTAGTTAACACACTCAATGCATTTTTTTTCAACACATCCCATAATTTCACAAATATCAGCCTCTACCTATATGGTTGATGTGTTGGTTTATGGTAAAAAAGTACTGGATTTAATACAGATACTATGAAAAATCTGAAGATATGAAGTGTATGTGCATTTTTTTTAAAAAACCTAATAAAAAAAAAACTCTTTTTTTTTTTTATGTATGCCATAAAATATTTTAGCGTGTCATTCAAGACGCTTTCTTGTTTTTTTTTTTTTTTGTTTTGTTTTTTTATAACAATAAAACCAAAATTAAAAGTAGTAGTGCACTTGAAAAAATGAAATTTTAGTTTTACTACACCCACGCTTGATCACATTACATAAAACATAAAAGTAACTACATTAACACAAGTTATCTATGTTGTTTTTACAGAAACTTAGTATTGTAAGCTTTACCTATGGGTTTGACTGGCCATTTTAACATTGTGTGTACTCTTCTTTTGGCAGTCACATTACAGACCTGAAGTACACTTTTGAGTTTTTCCAGAAAGTATTGCAGGGACTTGACGCAATAAAACTGTCACACAAAATGCTCAAGAACAAATTTGTTGGTTGAATGAGTACATTGTTCTGGACAATTAAAAAGAATGAAATGAAGATGTTTTGTTGTTTTCTTTGTGACATTTAACTTGTTTCTGGTTTTAAAATTAGGTTTTAATTCTGTCTTTGTTGATAGCACCAACATTTTAAATGTTTAATTTTTTTGTCTTTTTGAACAAACTGTTTTTGTGATTGTTTTCAAAAATGGAGGCCAATTGTAATGTTTTTTTTTGACAGCTTAAATGTTTTAAAATATCAGAAATTGTTCAAAGTAAATTTTGTATGGCAATATTTGAAGGAAGTTGCACATTGTAAGAATGTTCACTATTGACTAAAATGTTGTTTTGACCTTTTTTTACTGTAAGATTATTGCCAATTCTTAAAGTTGCAAAGAACTTGTAAAAAACTTGTAAAGAATTTTTACTGTTCAATTTTTAATGTTTTAGTGTACCTGTGAAATTGAATTTTATGGGATTTAGCAGTTGTATACTGCTAAACTTTGCAAAGAAAATAAATTCATTTTGTTTCTAAAAATATGTTTTACACTTATAAAGCAAATACTTAAAAGTTAATTAAAAAAAATGTTTATAAATCTTACATACAGTAACATTGCTAGGTAAAATATACATATAACTTAAATGCAGTAGTGACACATCTGAATGGGTTGTATCTACTAAGGAATATTTTGTCAACTTTACCTGAATTTCTTTAGTTTATTCAACTGTATTGTTGCTTGAAGAAACTACATAACAAACTTGCGTGGAACCACTTGACCATATTTTTTATGTAAGTCCATAAAAATCAGTTTTTTGAGTGTGCAACAGCATTATGTTTGTTTGATTATTTTGTAAACCAGCAATGCTGTGTAAACCATGATCATTCCCTAAATGATTTTAACTGCATTATTTAAAACAGTCAAAATATGGTCAACCGCTAGAGCAGGCAGTTATAGGATAAAAAAGTATCTATTGTCATGATGGCAAAGCTAAAAGTAATCAGTTATTATAATTTAGATATTAAAACTATTATGTTTAGAAATGTGTTAAACCAATCTTCTTTCCTTTCAACAGAATTTGGGGAAGATTTACAGAGGGGCTAACAATTCTGACTTCAACTGTATGCTTCAATTCCATTTTTAAAGTTTCAATCTCTTTAGAGTTAAGAAATGTGTTGGCTTTCATGCTAAAAACACACAAAAGTTTTTTTTGTAAACAATGTACAGGACTGTGGCTTAATTATGCAATGCTTATTTATAACACTCAAGTGATATTGAATGGGAAGATTTTGGCTGAAATGATGATTCTACTTCTAAAGCTTTTAAGTGACTTTCAAAGCTCTCTTTGTATAATATATCAGTGACCTCTTGGTACATAATAATAAAATTCTATTTTTTATCCAGGTATACTAACGCATTCTTTCTTGTTATTTTATTTTGTGCATTATTTGATGTCTTTTATGATCTACCACTAACAGTCTCTGCTTTGAAATAAAAATGTAAAAGATAATTGTGACTCTCAAAGAATTCTCAATTTTTTATGTCAAAGTTAAAAATATTAAATAAATATTATAATATAAAAGACTAAGACAAACTTCATTGTTCTAGAATTTGTATTTTTTTTATAAATCTCCTACTGCAACTGTACATTTATGAAGTGTAAGATGTAAATTTATTTGATAAAAGTTAAAAATTAGAATCAACCTTCTTGTTATTTTGTGCATGATCAGAGTCTTTGTGCCACACAGAAAGTCTGCTCATGTAATGTCCTTTCATATGCCAAATGATGTTCTTTTTGTTATTAAACTTTATTTATTGTTTTATAGCCATTCAAACACAACTTCCAAATTTGGTCCAACCAGCACAACAGTTGACAATAAAACATATAATATACAAACAATACATACAGAAATATAGTGATAATAGATAAATACAATAATAAATACATAAAAAAAGAGAACAAATAATATTAAAATAAATACAAAAATCACTAATTATTGCTGTGCATTGTGGGATTGATTAAGTGCACTTCATAATGTCCACTATGGTTTCGAACACCAAATGGGTGCTTCCTCAAATAGTGCCCCACATAGGAGGGGATTTCGGATACAGCCATATACATAGAGTTTCCAAAATAAGAGTCGCACATTCTGTTCATAGAAAATATAATAATCTATTTCATAAATAAAAAAAAATAAGAGTAAACAAGTAACAATTGTGGTAATCTCACTAGGAAATATTGTGGCCAAGGAAAAACTACTGGGGGTGAGCATATTAATGAAGCCGTGTGGAACATCAGAGTCTGTTGCTGCATCCCAAATGGCACACTATACACTGTGCTCTATGTACTTATGTACTTACACACTCAACAGCATAGTAGATGAATGTAGTGTTGTCCCAAACGAAACACTAGCGATATTTCACTAACCTTAAATTCAATTCGTTTCCCAGATTTGACGTTTGCCAAGCTAGTAAAATAAATAACCAAACCACCAAAGAGTACATGCCATGAGAATAACCGCATTCACCATCGGGGGGTGGCATAATTACTCTCGTAGGCCAATTTAGCTTTCGCTATCCAAAATAAATAAAGTAAACCAACGTCAGTGCTCCATAGCTCCGCTCTCTTCCACTATAAGAGCAAAGCTGCGGCCATTGAGTGTGTGAAATGTCCAACATTTTACACTTATTTTCAATGGTTGAATAAGTTAATCATACAGGTGTTTTAAATCCACTTATTCTTTTGCACTACTTACACTATTTATACAACAAAATGGCATAGAATAGTGCACAAGTATGCGATTTGGGATGCAACTTGGGACAGAACTTTGTTCAGATTGGCCTGTTTTCCAACAGTATTTCACACTGATGGGATTTACTTTAGAATGAGGGAGCAACAGTGTTTGAGGCACATCGTATGTCATTACCATGTACTGAAATCGTATTAATCAGCTATGCCTAGATATATCCAGATTTTCATTCTATGGCACCTTTAATCAAAACCAGCATTTCATAAATCATTAGATTATTGAGGGAATACTAAATCAAAAGTGTGTGGTTTAATCAGACCGCATTCGAAACAGTCATTCGGCAGCCGCATAGTGTTTTTGGATTGACAACATTGTGTAACATCCCTAATGGATATTTTGGCATCAGTTATAACATTAAAACAAGTATAGAGGAAATGAAAGAAGAACGACAGGGTGAGACAGACCTCAGTTAAAGCACAAGTTGGAAAACAATGAATTCGCTTTTTCCCCCATCTAGGACATGCATGCTGCCTTTTAGTGCTCGACTAATCTTGGCAGCGAAAGAGATCTAGTGTATTGTTCAGTTAAGAGCTTCCTCTCAAACGCAGGTCAGCAAGTACAAAGTGAATGAGACTGCATCCACGTCCAAATACAGATGTTAAGCGCTAGACAGACCTTAAAGTTTATCCCAAAAATGTATATTCTGTTATTAATTACTTACCCTCATGTCATTTCAATCTCCTGAGACCTCCGTTCATTTTCAGAACACAAATGAAGTCCATTTAAATTAAATCCAAAAGCTCTTTCAACCTTTATAGACAGAAAAATTTTGAAGCCTAAAAATAGAAGGAAAAAAAAAACATCGTCAAAATAGTGACTTCAGTGCTTCAAATGTAAACAAACAAAGCTCCAAGAACACTTTTGTTTTCACTAATGGCATTAAATTGGTGATATTAAAGAAATCACATCTTTCCTGCAGCGATCGAGCCGGTGTGATTCTATTAAAACATTCTTTTTTTTTTTTGGATGATTTTCCAATAAGCCAGGGGTGTCCAACCTCAGTCCTAGAGGGCCGGTGTCTTGCTGAGTTTAGCTCCAACTTGCTTTAACACACCTGCCAGGAAGTTTCTAGTATATAGTAAAGCTGGGGTCACACTAGAGTTTGATAATGCGAAATTCTGT